GACACTAATATTTGGCAGTAGAAAATAGAAGAAACATTAAAATCTCTTGCCATTAAGATCAAAAGAGAGTGAGCGTACACTTTGACATTTCTCCTTTCCTGCAAGGAGTCCCTATTTTGCAAAGCAAATTCCACCATGTAGCTTTGAACTCCTTTAGAGAAAAGATAAAAGGTGAAAATCCAGCTCTTTGAAAGTCAACATCAAGACTTCTGCCAACTTCAGATGAATCAGGTCTGACCCATGATTTTCTACATGAGAACTGGGACCACAAACCACATTCCTCAGCTTCTTGGAAGGTCATCATGCCCCTCCACTGCAAAGACATGACTACATCTCATGGAGCGGCATAGACCAGGTAGCTCCAAGGGTGCTGGCTGTTTAACGACCACAGCAAGGACCTCAAAAGCCTTCCTAATCCACTGAGTATACAATGGAAAGCATTGAGCTCCAAGTCAAACACAGCTACAGAGCTAGGTCTAACCTAGCTATCTCACTGAAGGCTACCAGAGTGTCTCTTCTCTGGTTACAGGTCCTGTAATGAATTCTTCTACTTGGCATAGTAAAAATTTTTAAATTTAAAAAAATATTTTTTTTAGTTGGGGAATTCACATGCAGACACAAGACTTTTCAGTCTTTTCTCACTTTGGAAAACAAGGTGAGCTTCCCATGGGAATCAGGATCGAAGGCAAGAGAGTGTTTAATAACAGACGAGAAGGTTCTTGCATAGTTAAAACTGAAAAAGGAAAACAGGAGTGATACTATTGCTCCTTTAAGAAGTCTTACACCTCCAAACAGTCTATATTAGCAATATGCAATAGATGATGAATCATGTAAACAAGATGATCTAAAATGTCATTGTTTCATTTCAAAACTAGATGTGTAAGATCAGGACTCAGAAGTACTCGGATCCCAGGCCACAGCTGTTTCTCTTGCTGAGCATCTGCATTATTTCCTCCCACCTCTGAATTTGTCCCCAATACTCAGCCTCATTTTCTTTACCCAGACTCTGCACCTTCATTTAGAGACCATCACTGGAAATGTTCTCCTCTCTCAGCAATGCTAACATCCTCAATCTCAAGCAGCCACTTGTTATTGACAGGCAGCTATGCTTAAAGCATGAAAACAGATGCAGCATGGTAGTACTTTGCATATTAAAACACAGTATAGGAACTAATGAATAAATTTACATAATGGTCCCAAGAGACGATCTGATCACTGACCTCAGTCATGACTCCTTCAGGCACAAGGTGGATGCAGCAACCCTTGCTGTCTTACATCCCCCAAAACCCCAGCGTGAAGGTCCACAAGATGCTCTGCCTGTACTTTAGAGATCTCTGACCTGTCTGTACTGGATTAGACTGAAGAACTGCTCACAACACCGGACTGTGACACTGAGTCCTCCCATACCAAGGAAAACAGTTTAATTACTCTACTTTAATGCATTCCAGATCACGTTGAAGCCTTGAATTAGCAGGATGTAAGTGCGTTCCATTTGCTGGAGAAAAGGTGCTTCCCTGTCCTTGGAAGACAGGCAAGTTTCCCAAATCACTTGTTGCTTCTTGGGCATTTTAAAGCAGAAAAAGGCCACAGCTGACAAATGTGCAGTGCACAGAAGTGCTTGTTTGGAGCAATTGCTCTGCTGCTGTTTGCTGCTGATTCAGGAAGGAGTTTTCCCCAGCTTATTCTTAAAGCTTTTCACCCGCTTGATGATTCAGTCTTTTTGCTTCAAGCATAAATCACCTTCCAGATAAAGTCTTGCTAGAAAGATTTCACTGGCCCTAATTAAAATAAAACTCTGTGGAAGTATAAACAGTGGATCAGCAAGGAAAAATTGGGTTGAGATTTGTGAACTTGCATTCTCTCTGCCCTCCTAATTCCTCCATTTATCACAGGAGGAGGAGTGAGTATTTGGCAAGGTAGATTACTGCAAAGCCTAGCCTTTGATGCTATTTTTCTCTAAATCTGCAGACAGGCTGCAACTGGACCACATATGAAGTCATCTCAATCCTTTGGAAATTACAAAAGAACTCTTCAAAACAAAGCTCTCGCTTTGGAAAGACCTGAGACACCCCACCAAACTCAAGTCCCAAGCTCCTTCTTTCCTGAACATCAGCTTGCCCGATGCTACCACAGGTCGACTTTTCAGTCTCAAAGCTGCTTTCAGGACAGAGCCAGCTCTCTGCCTTGGTTAAATTAATGCTGAGCTGGTAAAGTACATCTCACCCTGCAAATTATCCCAGCCATCACCACTGCAAAGAATGAAAAATAACTATTCTAAGAACCCTACAGCAAAGGCAGCAGGAAAAGAGGAGCAATAGCAAAGCTCTCTTGATGCAGAGCAAGCAATCACTCTCCACCTTCCAGAAGGAAATGAATGACCCATTAAGGAAGCAGTCCTTAACCTCAGCTTCCCCCATAATGGGTCTTGTCTTAGACTGCCTGGCATCGAAGGGATTTCAGTTCTAAGAAAGGACCCCATGTGGGACCATCTGCTCTCACAGCAGGAAGGGAAAGGGTTTGCACAAGGAAGGCAACAAACCCACCCCAACCAAACCCAACAGTGGACACACACAAAGGGGCAGGGTGAAGGAAGAGCTCTGCTAAGCCTAAGGAGCAGCAATGTTTCCTGCTTTTTAGTTAATGGGAGAAAAAGCATCAGCCTCTTCTCTTTCTAATGCATAATCACAGTTTACATAGAGCACTGCTTGCCTCTTGTGGTCCCCCAGCCTTTTGAAAATCTTAATTATGCAAAACATTGAAAGTAGGCTTACAGCTCAGCTCTGATGACTATCCTACATCATGGGAATGCTGGTTTTCTTGAGGAGACCAGAGGCTGGGGCCAGCAGGGAATCTAGCGCTATCATTGCACAATTTTCCTGGCCAAAAACATTCTCCTCAGCAGTGGAGAAACGAAATGGTGAATCAAAGCTCTCTAGACAAGTAACCGCCTCTGACACTCAGCCACTGTCTGAGCCTAAATGTGCCAGCGTTCTCCCTGTCCTCTACAAACCAAGGAAAAGGACCCCGACACGTTCACTTACCCCACCATTCCAGTTAAGGACGTAAGAAACAACACCTTCCAGCTTCTTCCCATATCAACCTAGTATGGGCCCAGTAGGGTTCCAGCTAATTCAGGCAGCGTTAATGTGCAGTTGCTGAACTGACTGGTGCTGGATGGAAGAGCTGCAGTGTGGTTTTGATGAACTTAAGAGTAGGCACAAGAAACCAAGACGAAAGCCAAGTGGCCAAAAAACAACAGATGACTGAAGCTGTGAAAAAAGTTAAGGGCTGCACAGAGTGGATCTTCTCCACCCACACCTTTTCTCAGCTCCTAACCTGCAAAAGCACAGCCAGCTCCTCAGCAGGCAGAGCAGCACGGGGAGGGGGTGACACAGCATGCAGGCCAAGGGAGAGGGGACAGTGATGGCTGCTGGCACCAGTTACATGAACACACTCTGCCAAGAGGTCCTGTGGCACCACACTCATCACGCACCCTCCACTCCACATTCAGAGACCCTCATGTCTGTCAGATGTGAACCCACCAAGCATTAGAACCTAAGCTGGGGTTTCAGATGAGGCTTGACATTATACAACAAATATTCAACTGCATCTCATCCAGGCATCTGCTTCCAATTAGATTAATGGGTAGCTAGAATGATACTATAATAGTTTTCAAAGCAACCCCCCAAATCAATACCCCAGTAGTAAGATCTGGTTTTTGCATGTGGTACAAAAGGCAGTTTGGGAGAAGATGATCTAATACACCACATATTGATTAATCAATTCCAGCCAGGATGCTAATGGGCTTTTCTTACAACAGTTGGCACTAGAAGGAAGGAGTGGAATTGCTGAATGAGAATGGGAGAAACTGGTTGTGTGATGAAGTTTCACGGTGAGGGGGGGGCATGCGGTGAGCAAATGAGCCCTTCTAGAGATTGCTCTAAGTGGGCAGAATCTGAGAGGAAATGGAGGAACTGAATGGAGAAGGTAATAAATCAGATATATTGGCTTCAAACACAGCAGAATTGTACCTTGCAATTTACCGTGGTTGATATTAATAATACTTTTCTGTTGCTACAGAAACCCTCACAGGAAGGTCTGCGAAAGAGCCCAGCACGGGGCTAGAGACTATAATGAAGTACATTGAACACTTTGTAGTCTTACCAGCCAGTGAAATGGTCTGAAGGCATTATTAATGCCTACCTTAGTTATTTTTCCACATTGGCACTTCTGGCTAGGACAGCGTGGGGTAATTCAGATCATCTATGCCTGGCTCTCAGATTGTCCTTCTTTCTACCAGCAATGGAAAGAAGCAGCCAGCGCAGCCACACACTGTTAACCACCACCACTTGCGCTCTCCTTCTTGTCCCTGTACTTGATAAAGTCTTTTACTACCATAGAAAATGGAAGTACAAAACAGCTGGACCATCCTCCAGACCTGAACCGTAGCACTTCACACCCACTGATAGGGCTTTGTAAAATTGTATTGGAGTTGCCAAGACCAGTACTTGATCTCGGTGCTAGCATTCAGCTGATGCTGTTCATTGATGTAGATTATGAAGTTTGATCACAAAAGCCAGACCCAGTGAAGAAAGAAAACCTCTAGGTACTAAACATTAACAAGTTGCTGGTTTTGCCACCCTATATTGTGCAATTTGGTAACTGATTTTCTATAGAACATCACGAGAACATGTTCCTGCTCACTCACCCATCCTACAGCAGAGCACACCAGCATCTTGACATGACCCACACACACACACAGAGCAACACCACACCAACACAAGACATCAAGTCTGCAGCCTGAAACCACCACAGACCACAGTAGTGGCTCAAAGACTTTCACAGGACCTGCAGAACAACCCTCAAAAACAATCTTTCTAGAAAAGTGAGATGCTAATCAAGGGGGAAAAAATGCACAGACTAAATTACGTTTTTTCCCCCAGAACCACCTTTTCCAAACTAACACAATCCATAACTCACGTCTCTCAAACTCTACTCACATTGTAGAGGATGTCGGTCCATCCCTCCATGGTGATGCACTGGAAGACGGTGAGCACAGCGAAGAGGATATTGTCAAAGTTGGTGATGCCATAGTTGGGTCCTTGCCAGTACTCCCTGCAGGTAGTCCCGCTCTCGCACTGCCTGGCAGGAGGCTCCTCTCCACAAGGAAAATCTCCCACCTCATCACCTGCAGAGGAGAACACCAGGGAGAAAAAATTTACCAACCAAAGCCAGTCAAGCAGCTGGTGCCACTACATCCTCCTTGCACTACTGCATAAGTGAAATTTGCATTTCGGGCTTCCTTCTGCCACTATGGGCATATAAAAAGACATTACACCCACGTAATCATCTATATACTGCTATGTTGTAAGAGGCAGTTTAGTGGCGAGGTAGAGAAGAGCCATGCCTGAAGCACCCAGAATTTACACTTTGTCCCAGTGTTCAGTCGTGTCATGTATGGAAAACACCACCTAAAAACAAGTGAAGTAAAAACAAGAGTTTGGGAATGGCACATACTTCAAACACTGTGAGCCCATGATACCTCCTTATACAGCATAGCTAAGCGCCAAATATTGGCACAATAAAATTAAAGCTAAAGGGCAGGTGCTACACCAGTGGCTTAAGCGAGAGCTGATTGTGGGCCCCAAAATGGTTCAGATACAGATGTCAGATTACAGCTGCACGAGGAACCCCTGGCAAGGCAGTACGACCACAGCAGGCTGCGAGGTGGACCAAGAGCTCCAGCTCCTCTGTAAACTTCATGTTTTCCCTCTAAAAGGCAAAGCTGTGCAGTGTAGGGACATGTGGCAAGGAAACCGCCCAGCGCTTGGCTCAGCTGCAGCAGGGACCACGTTTCTCTGCTGGGTTTCATTTCAGACCCACAGAAACGAAAGAAAGAAAGAGTCTGTCACAGTTAAGGACTACAAGGGGTGACCACAAGGGTGGCAAACATCTTCCAGGGTCAGTCTGAAGTGTTGCAGCCCTCTAGAGATGCTGTGGGCACCAACAGAGAGCAGCTTGGAAAACTAAAGTGCCGGGTTTTCAAAGTAAACAAATATACTGAGTAATATTCCTGTTTACACAGAGATGCAATTCGGGAAATATTAAAGGGTTTTCAAAGTGACACGTTATGGTAATGTAGCAGCAAACTGCACAAAATCAAATTCACAGGAGGAAAACAAGATAGACACTAACAATAATTAGAAGTAATCGTTCCATAGAGCAAAGCCTGCAGGGGGAAAACAAGACTGTCACTGTGGCTCCAGGAGATAGATATATATATACATATATGAGTGTGTGTGTGCGTGATGCGTTTTCCTGTTGACTCAACACCTTAATGCAGGGCATCTCTCTCCAGCTCCCATATGGGTCACCACAGGCTTTCACAAGGGCATAGTGAGACAAGCCTGCAAAAAGCAAATACAAAATCTGGCTCTTGCAGACCATTTGTGAGTGTGCCTTAAAAGAGAATCCAGTTTTATCTGTTTGCCTTTTTCTTGCCAGGTAATGTTCTGAAAACACGACGCACCTCTACTACAAAGGGGTGGGTTTGTTGTATTTTTTCTTTTAATAAAAAAAGACCAGAAATGATCGCTACTCCCATGGCTGAGGAAGACAGAGAAAAGAGAAGCCTCAAAGAAAATAATGGAAAGTAAAAGTGATGGCCTCTTCTCCTGAAGCAGCTTCAAGGCACTTGGGGTCAGCAGAACAGGACAGCATGAAGGAAGCAGGGAGAGAAAAACAAGTCAGGCAACCACCAGGAATACATGTTGCCATTAATTTTTACCCATTTTTCATTAAAATAGAGAGACATTTCCATTAGCTCAGAGCACTCTGCCAGGCTGAGTGGCAAAGGCCTTGACTGACCTTTTTGTCACATTTTGGTCCCTGGTTTCCCTCTTCATTGCAGTTCATTACCGACCCACCCAGGGCTACCGGAGCAGTGGGGCTGCAGCAGCGTTTGCAGCTGATTCCCCTCACGATGAGCTGCAGCATCACCTGGTACCTCTCATGGCCCCTGATTCCAGGAGAAATCCAAGGAGTTTGTTCACTTCAGGGATTTGGAACAGAAACAAGTGCAAGCAGCTCCTCCTCCACCAATTTTCCCTCTGCCAGAGGCCGCTCTGTAATGAGGTTCACATTTCCACACTTGAGGTTAATGCACCTCCACAGAGATGCTGAGCACTTAGGGCTGTAAAAGGCTGGGCTGCTGATGGCTTTGCGGGATGCTCCGCTGCTCCGCTCATAAGGGACCGCAGCGCCAGGAAACCTCGCCACTCTCCGCCTTTCCAGAAATGCCATCCCAGCCATTTCCTGCAGGAATCGATCCCTGCAATTCAGCCCCCAACCAGCTTGTTAGCCCTTGGGAAAAGCAGGGGCTGGCAAACACAGGCGCCTTTTCCCTGCCTTTCCGTGAGCAGATTCAGAGGGGGATGTGAGCCTGGCCATGTCACGGCCTCCCACCACGATGCCAGGTGCTGTGATGCAGAGATACGCAACACAACATTTTTTTGGGCTGCGCTCCCAATTCCTAGTTGGGAGCCACCCAGCAAGCAAAAGTCCCTAACACACGACATTGCACGTGACAAAAATCTGCTCTCAGCCCCTAAGCTTGGCACAGGGATCTCTCAGTCATCACTGATGTCAGGGAGGTGTCCGCAGAGAATACAAACAGCTCTGGGGTTTATTTTTCCCCTTTCACATTACCTGGTTTCTGAGGAGAAGAAAAAATTAAGACAAAATAAATACTACTCTTCTTTCTAGCCCACTGGCTAAAGTCAGCCCAGAGAAAGCATCAGAGCTCAGACTGCAGCTGCTCCCTGCAAATGAAGGATGCAAAAAAAAAATCATCTGCTTTGGTTGTAATTTAACAGACCTGAAAGTGCTCCTAGAAAATGCAAACTTGCTCATATTTGCTTTCTCCCTGCCACCTCACCCGGAACAGTCCTGCATTCTCCACACCCCCACTGTTCTTATTCCTCCATACCCACTGTCACGGCCCCAGAGCCCTCACCGGGGCTGCAACCAGTCCTGCTTGGCATGAACACACGCCCCCACACCCTGCAAAAATCTTCTACAAATCCACTCCAAAAATTCATTTCTTCCAGGAATCCACATGCTTCACTCACAAGTCACAACACCTGACTGTCCCTTATGGGTTGCACTACGTGTTTCTAACATTACATAGCAACATAAGCAAGAAAACAATTTTGCCCTGCTTTTGCAAAGCTCTGTGTAAACTGAATATATTAAACATCCATGCTGTTGTTAGAAAGCACTGTGAAGGATGCCCAGAGATTTGGCAGGGATGTTGTTTTATTACCATTTGAATGCATATAAATAAATCAATATTAAGACCTATTAGTGATAATCACTGAAAATACACAACTGCGTTTTAAAGACGGTCAATTGTACCTTCAATTGTAATCTTTTGGAGACAAAGCAATGTTTTCGTCTGTGAACAGCCCAGATAACCAACACATATTAGCACTGCTATAAAGGAATATTAGAAAATTACATGGAAAAAATTGGAGCTTTGTTTATTTGTCTGTTTTAAATTGGGATGAGTTCTGAGCCACAGACAGCAGCTGGTGTGGACATTGCATCCAGTCCCAGCCGAGGGTCTCTCTGGGCATTTGCTCCTCTCCACCCTCATTCCAGGGTTTATCACTCATTCACAGGCAGACACATCATTTAGTCTGCAGTGCAGAATTTTCCTTGCCCTGCTCTGTTTGAAGGGCATTTTTATCTTTTCTCCATCAAAGGACTCCTTGCCTTCCTTCTAGTGTCCTTTTTAATTTTTTGGTTGCTTCCAGTGTTTCTAACCTTACTATTTCACACTGATGTCCTCTCATAGCTATGCAACATGCTCCAGAAACCTTGCAAGGAAATTCAGCACTCAGCAGCTATTCATAGAGCTAAAACCAATGCAAATGTAAACAGAGACCAATAAATAAAAATAAAGTAAATAAAACTTTTAAAAACCAAACCGACCCAAAGAAAACCCCATACCCATCCTTCAACAATCTAGAACAACATGAATGTGGTTCTGCATTTCCACTATGAAAAAAGCTTTCCCAGGTGAGAGGCCCTAAGCACCTTCATCTCACTCTTGTGTTGACTGGGGTCGACACTCTCAGGGTGCCCTGGTAGTGTAAAAGTGAGATGGGGATCTGTCCCAGATCACATAGGGTGAGCACAAAAGTCTATTAACTCTTGGAGTAGGCCACTAAAAAGGGAGAGAATGCAGTGGATGTGGAAGAGGAAAAGGAAAAGCAATGAAAGAGAAGGGTGGAAAGCATCCTGATGAGATGAAGAGGACTGGAAGCATTGTGACCATGCACTGGGAGAGGACCAAAGCTCAAAGCTCACCCGTCTCATTAGAGAAGCAGGTTTTGTGAAACTTCCCCATGTAAAACTCCAGCCCGATGATGGCAAACATCACGATGGCAAAGAAGAGGAGCAACCCGATCTGAAGCAATGGCACCATCGCCTTCATGATGGACTTGAGGACAACCTGCAAGCCTGTGGGGACAAGGAAAAACACATAATCAGTGAGGGAAGGAAAACAAGGCCTTGGGGATGGGGGCAAGGTAGGAGAGAAGGACGTCTAAGGGAAAGTTTAGAATTAGCAATACCAAGCAATGCTGCGTTTCCCTGGGTGCTATAAAATGATGCTACAGCCAAAATGCACTCAAGATGTAAGAGACACAATCAAGAGTTATCCTGTTCTGACCCCTTTTCTTCAGATCACAGATTCAAAGATCTCTTTAAGTTTTAGAGACACAAAAAAGGACTTTTTCCTGAAGCTGGCAGAGTCCCAAGACTCAGCCTGGAGCCAGACCAGGTCCCCAAGGCAGATCCTGCAGCAGCGTGGGTGCAGTAGCAGAGTTGGGCATTGCTGTGGTCCCCCTCATCCCTGGGATGCGCAGGAGCCCCCTCTCCCTCCAGGACACACAGAGCAGCCGCAATGCTGCCGTGCAATCACACTCCACTCCTGGGGAAACAAAACTCTGTCTCCAGGGCTGGCTGTCCATAGCTTTTTCACTGGCACTGAAACTCATTTTCAATTAAAACCAGGGGAGATAAGGTAAGAGAGGTTCGAGAGATGGAGGTGTTAGATAACATCATGCAGACGTGCATAACAAAGGAAAACTCAGCGATAAGCAGCAGCTGAAAGCCACCTTGGTGGCCTGCACAAAGGTACAGAGAATGAAGGATCATTATTGTCGTGCCACTTTGCACAGCACGGCTGAGGTCAATACAGGTGCAGGCAGGAAAAAAAGCCTGCAGATCTGTTGAATGGGAAAAATACTGAGAGTGTAGAAGAAAAGCATTTACCATGCTTGTGTGTGAATGCACCTCAAGGTTGTACATTTACTACAGGGAAAAAACCACAGCATACTCAGCTTTCACAGCATCACTAAAGACATGAGAGCAAATGATGCTCTGTCGGAAAATATTGCACTGGTCCAGGACACATCACTGAGTGAGAGCACGTCCTCCTGAGGGGAAACCTGTGACCACCACCAGGACAAGGACACCCCTAAAGGGCCACCTTCCTTCTCTGATATCTTTCAACTGCCACTGCACAGCACCGTACTGTGTTGTGCAGACAAGAAGTCCATGAAAAACCAGCCAGCAGCATCAACTCATTAGAGATCCTGTTAATAAATGACATCTTTCCCAAGCCCAGCCAAGAACCTGTCCTGCACAGGAATTCAAAGTCAAGCCCTGCCTATGAAAGGATGCTGGTTCCAGGAAATTTTGGGGCTGTTATCGCAAAGCGCAGTCCCTTGCTGCATTTCTACAGCACCAGTGTTTCAGCCCTGAAGCAGCCAGGGAGGTGACAGCGCTGATGTCCCAACCCACAGCCCAGGAGGAGAGGGGGCTGCCAAGGGGTTAACACAGAGAAGAGCAGAGCATCCCACAGAGCAGCAGTTCCCTTTCACTGGTTCTTGCTGGAGGGAAAAAACTTCTCTGTCCCACATTCAGCAATGAAATCCACTCCTGACAGCGATTCCCTGCCAGCGGGCAGAGCAGCTGGTGACAGCGACAAAGAAAAAGGCAGCAGGCAGCAGTGTGGGGACAGCGATGGTTTCAGGGCATCAGCAAGGCACGATGCAGCTCCTCACCAGACCCTTCGCCTTAACATGTAAAATAGATCAAGTTGCCCATCGAGCAGGCAAGACCAAGCCCTAACTGCTCTTTCACTTCATTTTTTTCCCTTAAAGGGGTAAAGTTGCCAGTTCAAGACGCTCAGCTGGCAAAAACTGTCAAAAGATCCAAGCTGAAGGTGGGGGGTCTGAAAGCCACGAAATTTGGGTCTCTAGTCTTCACTTCTCAGAGAATTAATTCAACCCCAAGGGCAAAGAAGACCCAGGGCAAATCCCTGGTGCTCACCTGCAAATTTGGGAGGGCAGTGCTGAAATCAGCTGGCTGTACACGAAACGGAATGACAGAAAATCAGAACCTAGCAAGGGCAGGAGCCACAGACCGCAAAGCAAGAGAAGAAAATATTGCTCAGAAAAGCATCTAACACCCTAAAAGCTATAGAGCACCTTTGGCTGAAGATGACATTATCATGACACTCACTTGGGATTCCCGACACAAGCTTCAGGGGTCGTAACACTCGGACAGCTCGCAGGGTGCGCAGGTCAAAGTCAGTCCCAGCAGTTGCTAGAATCCTAATTGTAAAGGGGAAGAGAGGTGAAAAAATGAGATTAAATGCAAATCCCCATTTCCAAAGCATGGATAAGCATTGCATAAAACCAGCAAATATTCAAGCTGCTTTAAACTTTATACCTGTGATCATACTGTAAACTATGTCTCCTTAGTTATGCTAGAAGTTACCTGTTAGAGCTTTTTCCCTGTAATAAATTCAGAAACCCCTCAAGTACTGATGTCTGGTGTTTCCTAATATCTGCAGCAGTTTATAGGTAGACAGTTGACTCTGCATGTGCAAAATCAATTTTTGTTCAGAGCATCTTATTTGAATAGGAAACTTGGAGTACAGGGTGCAAGTGTTTCCTCTGATACACTGCACTAACTCTGGTAAGAAACTCAGCCCCCAAACCAGAATGATTCCTAAAAATTTAAACACGCTGCACAGAAAATGAAATGGCTTCACTCCTTTAGGGTACAGCAAAGGAAAAACTATTGTCACAGCATCCACAAACCACAATGATGTGAACTCCTTAAGCAGAGACCCTGCAAGGCACGCGACCCCCCAGAGAGCACAGCCAGACTGTGTTCATTGATTACTGCAGTGCTTCCTATGAGGCTTCAACAAAAATATCCTTGATTTGAGACAGGGCTTCTCTAACACAAGTCAACCTTGCTGTTAGTCCAGAGCAAAAACCCTCTCACCAGCTCCTCATCAATTGCATCATTTAAAGACATTATAAGCAATTGCCAGTAATTTTTAACAGATTTGTCCCCAGGCTGTTTCACCAAGGTGGAAGTGGCTGAGCAAGCAGCCCACCAAAGGGGTTGTAAGCATCCAGCCACTTGATAGTGAATGTAGAAGATGCCACCAGTTTGCTAACCACAGCTACTGAAAGTGCTGCCAATAGAGACCCAGCCTTGGCCATGACCTGACGCCTTGCCAGCTTTTCCCCAAGAGCTACAGCAGTGAGAGGGACATCCAAACCTGGCTGGAAAGTGGGGTTCAGAGCTGGCACAGGCCATAGGCAGAGCTAGGAGGAGGCTGCCAGGCTTGAGGAGCGAGTCACAGGCACTCCGACACAGCGTCCCATGCTGGTGCACAGAGATACTCTGAATGGTGCAGAGCACCCTCAGATTTATCGTGATATATCTGCATCTGCCCAGGAGCCGTGTTTCTGCTCGGTATTCAGCAAAGTGGCCAGCTACCATAAAAAAAACATGAGTAAAAGCAGCGTATTTCAAACAAGACATACAATTCTACAACATTGTATGTGTTATGCAGGATGTCTGACAAACTCAGCTGCAGAGTGTGGCAGAGCACACGTGGCGAGCACTCGTGGCACAGCTACGCTCAGATGAAAACCTCGTTCTTGCCTTACTGACTGACTTAGCGCTGCTGCCAAGCACGGGCCAGGGAAGAGTGGGATCAGCCCTGCTGTGCGGAAAGGGCCAGACTCCATCAGCGGGAGGGGCTGGAGAGCAGGAAAGCAGCACGCTGAGATGTTGGATGGCAAGAGAGGCAGCCGCAAGCCAGGAGCTGAGAAGCAGAATATCTGTTCTATAGGACACCTGTTCCTACATTGTAACAACCAGAAAATTCACATTATATCAGCTCTAGAGATGCACGTTGAGCATAAGCAACAGGAGACAATTTAAACTAAGAACCATCACAGTCTGAGACTCCTAATTTAATCTTTTGCACCCATGCCAATAATTTTGTTCTTTTTCTCCCTTCTCTCCATCCTCACAACTTAATTGCTCACTTATAAACCTCTGCAGTCTGGGAACAGCAACACACTTCAAGTCAAAAGATAATCTTAAACATCCACCTTGGATATTGTTACTAACAGCACAATTAGTCTCCTGTGTGCTAAGATGGATTTGTGCTGTCATCAGGCACAGCCCTGGCTCCTGGTACAAGCTGAGAGGAGGGGTGGCTTGACACGCTCATCGCTCCCTTCCTAAATTCAAAGAGAAAATGGGAGTGAATAGGGGACACCATCAATTAGTCCCATGGTGCCAGTAAATGTTCCAGAGGTTGGAGGTCATTGTTCCAGTCCTGTCTTCCTAACGGGCTTGATGCTAAAAACAATCTGTTTAGACTGTGGCAACCCTCCCCCTGGCCAAAACACCCATCATTTATTAATTAACTCCCACATCCCCAGTGCTTGGATCCCCTCACTAACCCGCACAGGGCACCCCACAACCCACTGCCTCTCATGGCTGGAGAGCTGCTCTGGAGACCCCATCGAGTACCAGTCTGACCACACGAACCAGCCATGCCCATACAGCTGTGCTGTCGCTGCTACATCTGCCTGTGAGTCAGCCACTCCTGAAAGCCATGCAACCCTGGCCAGGTTTTGTCTAGAGAGAAAAAACGAAGCCACTTTTGGTGGCAGAAGCAGATGATCGAGGGGATGAGGTGGTAGCTCTAGATCTAAAAAAATCCATGTTTGAGCTTTGCAAGTAAATGAGGCAAGTGGTGAATGCACCCAGGTGAGCATCCAACATGTTTCCCGCACCCTTCAAAGCGGGGAGTGCTGAGTGCTGCAGCTTTTGCACACTGTGTGCTCCCAGCATCAGCTCTGCAGCCCCAGACAGGCTGTCTAAATATTGAAACCAAGGGGAAAAGGATCCTGGGGCTTTCAGAAGAGTTATGGGGTCAGCATCCATCCCAGGACCACTGGGACATGTGGTTTTGCTGCTTCAAAGGACCCCTGGGCAGAAATCCATTGCCTGGGAAGAGCCAAGCAGCAGCTTCAGGCAGCCAGAGCCTGGCAAAGCAGCACAGCAGGGGCAGCCAAGCCAGGGTGGAGGGGGTGCCTTTTCTCCCTACAAAACCAAAGCTCATTTACAGCGGCTCAGCAGCCTGTTCTGTAACCCACTCACAGGCACCTGTGTAAAAATGCCCCAGTGAGGGAAAGGGCTTAATGAAATTTGTGGCTTTTTCCCAAGTGCCATCTTTCTGGTTTACTTTATCCCCACTTCAGCTGAAAGCTCGCAGAAGCCGGAGTGAGTTTGGCCAGGACAAATCAGAAATTGTCATTAAAAATAAGAGAAATAGAGTGATCAAAGGAGTCAGCTGACAAGCACATCCCAACAACCCTGCCAAAGCATCGCTGGCTGCGCAGCAAACAGCTGAGAACAAAGCAGAGGTGATGAGCGAGCTGGTGCTGGAAATCAGCTGAGAAAGGTGAAAAAATAGCAAAATATTGTATTTTAGGAGATAACCGCACAAAGAATAAATGGATTGATCTGCAGCCCTTTTTGTATCTTAACAGATTGTACAGAAACACTGAGATTGGATAGGCTTAGGGTGCTGTCTTTGATAATGTTTTAAGTGTTTAAGTGCAAAAATACCTCATTAAATATGTTCTTCTGTGTAATTTGCTTTTTTTACAAGCAGGACAACTGACACTGCTCACACACTGCTGTGGATCTGGGCACGCATCCTGCCAGCCCAGCAGTGTTCAGGATTGCCGCGCTCCATCCTCACTTTCCTGACATCTTGATTAAATGCTGCTTTCTGTATCACCACCTCCACTAACAAGCTCTGACTGACATTTGTTCACAGAGGCCAAATTTGTGATAAATGCTCAATAACTTTTGTTCTAGCAAAGCCTGGAATAAATTATAAAAGCAGGTTATTCCTTTGGGTATAAAAGAAAGCAAAGAATGAAGGGAAAGTTCCTTTCCTGCATGTTATGCTAAGATCAATAATTAGCAATCTACTTCAAGTACCTCAGAGCTCACGATTTCAGTGTGCTGGTTCAGCAAGACGCATGATGCTGCACTTGTCTGAGCTACCCAATACTACTCCTCCTTGCTGGAGCCCTGATCAAAGAAAATGCCTCAAAACTCCTTCAAGCTTAGATACAGAGCTCTAACTTCTGAGGATTGGAGTCGGAAAAGCTAACCCTGCTCCTCAGGAGCATCTTCACCTTGCTCTCCTCCTGCATTAACAGCCTTTTAGTGGATTTATTTCAGCTCTTCCAGCCGCTGTCTTGGGAAGCAGGTGACAGGTGATTTGCATCTCTCCCAAAGCAGGAAGAGGATGGAAGAAGAAGAGAAGTGCAGGAGCCATCCCAGGCAAGAGTCAAGAACCCCAGATATTGAGGGTTTCTCTGTATGTCTCTGCTTAAAGGAGCAACCACACTGTGCATCGGGCCATGCTCCACACAAACACGTATCTGCAGATGATGGAGCATGTTGTCCACTGGGTCAATAAATCACAACATGGGTGGCACAAGATGTGCAGGACACAACCAGGACTGGCTGCAGGTCCAGCAGCTTCTGCACATCTGCTTGTGAGCAGATAACACACAGCTACGGCAAAAAGCAGTGAGATTAATAACTGGGAAACTTTAACGCTTCCAAGGGGATCTCACTACTGGACAACGCTGGTGCCAGGGCAGGTTTGCTAAGGGAGGAATCGCATAAATAGTGGACACTTTTAATGTAACCTTTCTATTTATTATAAACTCTAGTCCTAGAAAGTCAGTGGAAGCAGCAATTTTTTTTTCTAGAGACTTTTTCCTGAGCACCCATTCCTAAGAACCAA